AATTGAAAGGGCCAAGGACATAAAAAATCTTGACCTTGAGATAGAACATTTTCCACTTGAACGAGCACTAGGTGTGCAATGGAGTGCTGAGGAAGATGCTTTCATGTTCCAGGTGACTACAAAGGAACATCCATGCAGTAGATTATTAAAGTCCCCAAGAATGATTAAAACAGAGTCCGGGTGTTGTTGTTCTGTGTCTGTCATCAGATCAGCGAGTTTCTGTAAAGCGGAGTTCACGTGTGCTTGCGGAGGAATGTACACACTTACGAGAATGAACGAGCAAAAGTCCTGTGGCGAGTAGAAAGGCTTACAGTTAATGAAGAGGGGTCTGTTTCTGATGCTTTGCTGGACATTGTAGTTGGGGGAGTTGCAAAACGGACGAGCTCCTTCTGCTCTCCCGGACAAATAAGGATTTTTCAAACTCTGCTGCTCTATGTTTCACGGAAACCTGGCTGAAAGACGCAATTCCGGACAGCGCGTTGAGTCTGCCGGGCTTTCAGCTGTTTAGAGCAGTTTGCGACGCAGAATCAACTGGGAAATCGCACGGCGGAGGGACATGCTTTTACATCAATGAGAGGTGGTGTACAGACGTAACTGTGTTAAAGAAGATGTGCTGTCCAGATCTAGAAGTGCTCTTCATTAACTGTAAGCCGTTCTATTCGCCGCGGGAGTTTTGCTCGTTCATTCTCGTAAGTGTGTACATTCCTCCGCAAGCACACGTGAAGCTCAGCTTTACAGAAACTCGCTGATCAGATCACAGACACAGAACAACAACACCCGGACTCGGTTTTAATCATTCTCGGGGACTTTAATAAAGCAAATCTCTCCCGTGAACTGCCAAAATACAGACAGCACATCACATGTCCCACCACAGACAGTAATATATTGGATCACTGTTACACCACAATAAAGAATGCATATCACTCATATCACTCTGTATGCACCAGAACGGCCTGACACAGGAACAGTTTCTTCCCTCAGGCAATCAATCTCATGAACACTTGACAATAACTGTGGAACACACTATTTATTCTCTCATACACTTATTTATCTAACACACATACTCAGTCTACATTTCAATTTGCACATAATATACCTGTACATACAACTGTTTATTGTTATTTTAATACTTAAATGCATAAACTATGGTCTATTGATCAGTACTTTAACCAGTGTTGGGGAATAACTAGTTACATGTAATGGCGTTACGTAATTTAATTACAAAATAAATGTAACTGTAATCAGTTACAGTTACTAAGAAAAAATGTGTAATTAAATTACAGTTACTTATGAAAATGTTAACGATTACAAAGGGGTTACATTTGAATATTTACACACATCCACATACAGATTTAATTGATTTCTTTCCCAAATTGCTCTGACTACTCTAAAATATGAGACATACGGCCCTATGATTTCCGCGATGCGGAAAACACGGACTGGTTGGAACTCTACGCGGAATATGTAAGATGTAAGATGTAAGATGGCGCCTACGCTGATGGCTGCCTCCGTGGCGTGCTCCGCAGTTGTTTTTATGTTTTTGTTAGTTTGTCCTGTCTTTAGTTATATCCCTGCAATCAGTTTCACCAGAGACGAATTGCTGGACATTCGGAAGTACACACCACCCGATATTTCACCGGTTTTTGATTATTCTGATGTTTTGCTGGACATTGTTGTCGGGGGAGCTGCAGCGCTGATCAAGCGCTTCAGGACGCGCAGACGGGGGAAGCGAGCCGGCGCGCTCGTGAAGCTCAGACAGCGCGGATTCAGAACGCCGTTGCCTAGCATCCATCTGGCAAATCTCCGCTCTCTACCCAACAAAACGGACTAGCTCCTTCTGCTCTCCCGGACAAATAAGGATTTTTCAAACTCTGCTGCTCTATGTTTCACGGAAACCTGGCTGAAAGACGCAATTCCGGACAGCGCGTTGAGTCTGCCGGGCTTTCAGCTGTTTAGAGCAGTTTGCGACGCAGAATCAACTGGGAAATCGCACGGCGGAGGGACATGCTTTTACATCAATGAGAGGTGGTGTACAGATGTAACTGTGTTAAAGAAGATGTGCTGTTCAGATCTAGTTAGCTCAATATATGACCCATTTGGATTTCTCACACCTCTCCGGCAAAACGCATCTTGCAAGAGCTATGGAGGCAGAACATTAGATGGGATGATGGAACTGCCAGAGGTGTATGCCCAAACCTGGAAGCAGGCGTGGCAAGACCTTCCAAAGGTGAGGGAATTCAAGGTTAAATCGATACTTGGTTCCAAAAGACTTTGGAAAATATCAAAATGGCACAGATGCACCATTTTTGTGATGCAAGCGATATTGGGTATGGAACAGCGTCTTATCTTAGATTGACCAGCAGCAATAAAGTTCATTTCACCTTTATCATGGGCAAGGCTTGGGTTGCTCCTTTGAAGGTAATGACTACACCATGGATGGAACTCACTGCTGCAGTTCTGGCTTTACGTATGGACAAAATATTGTCTGAATAGCTGCATATGGAGTTGGCACAATCTCTGTTCTGGACAGATAGCATGACCATCCTGAGGTACATCCGCAATGAAAGCAGAAGATTCCAAACCTTTGTGGAAAACCACATTAATATCATCAGAAGTGCATCAAAGGTGTCTCAGTGGAGGTACATAGGCACAAAATTGAATCCTGCTGATTATGGATGACAGTCAACACATTTCTGAAAAGAAAGACCTGGATCAATGGCCCAGACTTCCTAAGGGAACCACCTCATTGTTTGCCAGACCCTCCATCCGAACTCATCTTCTTTCCAGATGACCTAGAATTAAGAAAGGAAATGGTCACCGTAAATGTTGCAATGAAAGACAACTTTGACACTACAACTTGCCTCATGAACTTCTCAACATGGATGAGGCTCAAAAGGGCTGTGGCAGAACAAAGCAGGCATATTATGACCACAAGAAAAGGAAAACAGGAGAAACTTGATTCATATGTATTATCAGTACAAGATATGGAGGATGCTGAAATGGCAATTATACAATTTTGCCAAAAGCAGGAATGTTTGCAGGAAATAACTTGCTTGCAGAAAGCCATGAAGAATGTTGGTAGAAGCAGCCCCATCTACAGGTTAGATCCTGTTCTTGATAATGGCATCTTGAGGGTGGGTGGCCACTTGAGCAAAATGGCAATGCCTACTGAGCAGAAACATCCTGCCATTCTTCCTAAAAACCATCATGTTTCCAAGCTCTTACTTCGGCACATCCATCTAGAAGTTGGACACAGTGGAAGGAATTTCATGCTGTCCTAGCTTAGACAAAGATACTGGATTCCTTGTGCCAATTCCTTGTCCAGAAAGGTCATTCGTGAATGCACATCATGCAGAAGAATAAACTCCAGTGCAGGTGAACAGAAAATGGGAGCTTTGCCTATTGACAGGTTGACCCCTGACCTTCCGCCCTTCACTCGTGTAGGGGTAGATTATTTTGGACCACTGGAAATAAAACGAGGCCGTAGCATCGTGAAGCGCTGTGGCGTGATTTTTACATGTCTTACCAGCCGTGCAATACATTTGGAAGTTGCACATTGGCTTGATATACGAACTCTTGTATTCATGCATTCAGGCATTTCATTGCTAGAAGAGGACCAGTGTCTGAGTTGTGATCAGGTAATGGAACAAACTTTGTTTCAACTGAAAAGGAACTAAAGGAAGCTTTAAAATCTTGGAACATGCAACAGATTGAACAAAGTGGACGTTTAACCCTCCCCATGGTGCTCATTATGGAGGGATATGGGAAAAGCTGATTCGCATGTTCAAAACAGTGTTCCGGTCAGTCACCAGCGAACAATATTTGGATGAAGGTGGTCTTCAAACAGTAATGTGTGAGGTTGAGGCTATTCTTAATAGCCGACCACTCACAAGTGTTTCTGATAACCCAAATGATTTTGAGCCCTTAACACCTAATCACTTACTGCAGCTTAAGGTGCAGCCGCTTCTACCTCCTGGATTGTTTGTGAAAGAAGATCTTTACAGTAGGCGTCGCTGGAGGCAAATGCAGTACATTGCTGATTTGTTTTGGAAGCGTTGGATTCGAGAGCATCTTCCTCTTCTGCAAGCACGGCAAAAATGGTCACGGACCAGATGCAACTTCCATCAAGGAGACATTGTGCTGGTAGCTGATGCCTCAGCTCCGCGAAGTTCATGGATGTTGGCCAGAGTCACTGAAGCCTTCCCTGACTCCAAAATCCTGGTCCGCAGTGTACATCTAAAAACCAAAACAAGCCAGCTCGAAAGACCTGTCAGCAAGATCTGCTTGTTGGTAGAAGGCCAATAACCTAATTAAGGCTTTTATAGTCTTTGTGCACGTGCATACACTCATACATACACTGATTTGCATGCAAATAATCTTGTGCGTGGTATAGAATAGTACAATGAATTTAAGTAAACAATTTATGGCTCCTTTAAAATTGTATTTTGTTTGTTATAGCTTGCTTCCATTGGTCGCTATAAGGGGCCGGCTATGTTGGAGCCATTATTTAGGTTATAGGAGTACTAAAATATTTTTTGGCATAAGGTTTTTTTTTTGAAGATACTTTTATTTTGATAGACCTTGAGAAGGCAGTGAAGTTAAAGATGGCCACCTCTCACCTTTTTGTCAGAGAACAAAGAACAAAGCAGCGCACTACCAACCTACTACGCGTATAAGTTCTTTAAGGCTATTTGCTCTGCTATTTTATTTGACTAATTTGATATTGAGCTTGTATACTTTCAACCCTACTCTAACCTTTGTATGGATTACTGGAATCCATTTTGGAATATTGTTTGTTTGATCCCTCCATCCTGCCCTGCCTGCCTGCTACCTGCCTACCTTGCTCATGTCTTTCCATCCTGCTCATCTCATCCTTAAAAAGGTACAACTTAAGTTTATTTAGATAGTCCTTTAAAGAATGTCGCGAAGTATGTTGGGGGCTGCTTGAAATTTGCCATTACACTGAATATCAGAGTAAAATCTGATATTTGTAGACTCACCTCGACATACTCCTCCATCCTGCTGTGAACATCAAGAACAGCCATAGAGTTTCCAGACAACATATCAGTTTGTGAGAAATTCATTCTTATCTTCAGAGGAGAGACTGTGTCTGCAACACAGCGCTGAAACAAACACAACGTTCACCATCAGACTGAAGCTCTGAGATTGGCTGAAGCTGTGATAGACAACACGTACCAGCATGAAGATGGAGAAGCTGAAACAGGAGGACCCAGAATCCAGCAGGACGAACTTCTGCAGAGTCCTGGATGATGAATTCCTCAGATCAAAGAGTCCTCGACTCATTTTTCGTACCACATCCACATTCAGATTCAGAGAAACATTCAGCTTCTTCTCCAGAGATCCTGAGAGACATGAGAGGGTAAGACATGGAGGCTGTTTTCTTCATGTGACAGAGGGACTCTCTGAAACTTTATTTAAAGATTTATTTTTGGCATTTTCGCCTTGTTTTATGATAGGACAGATCAGAACTGACAGGAAGCAAAGTGGGAGAGGGTGGATGCGATCGGGAAAGGTCCTCGAGTTGGGATTCAAACTCTGGACACCCGTAGCACAACAGCGCTGTATGTCGGCACACTGCCAACAAGGCTATTGGCACCGACAGACACTCTGAAACTTTATTGACATTACCTGTGCTACTGGTGCGCTCGTTCACGGTGAAACATGATGTGAGATCAAATGCGTTAAATGTGTTGTCACTCGGACATTCAAAGTAGTTCAGACTGATTTCCTTTGGACTGAAACTAAGCTGCGCAGACAAACATCACAGGTCGAGCCCTGAGGAGAGAGGAAAGAGTCAGTAGCTCTCAATACTGGACAATGAGACTAATCAGCTAGATCACTGATGTGGTAAAGAGGTTGCTTTCTAATAATGTGATAAATTCGGTAGTTTGACACCTAATAAATTTTATTCTCCAAACTAAAGAATGACGTACTTGAGCAGGACAATCCCTCCTTGTGCTCCGATCACGATATCTGTCAGATTATCATAGTTCATGTCCATCTGACCGGACAGAGACACTCCAAACTGCTGCAGACCGGGCAGGACTGATTGCGCTGGGATCCGCTAAACACACACAAACAGATCTACTGTGTCACAGCGGCTCAGCATTGTGTCTGTCTGTTTATCTGGGAACATATTCTAGGTTAAATGTGAGCACAAACAGAGATTTTTGGTTTGAGGGAAGCACAGCAAACTCTCACCTGAGGAGCGTGTTCAGGGTTTATGCCATGCGCCCTGTGGCCCAGGTAGATGTAGACCACTCCTTCATTCTCCAGAGGCGCCCCGACCGCCACATCTGACAGACTGTCTCCATTCAGGTCCTTCAGTGAAGCCACAGACACAGCAAATCTGCCAGTGGTTGATTGCAGCGTCTTCTGAAAATACTAAGGAGAGGGAAAGAGATGAAAACAGAATCTTTATTCATCGGCACATGACCAGCACCAGAACAATTTCCACGCCCTTCACGTCATGGGAACCTATTACAACAGCAATTCCAATGTAGTAACACAATGGTGACGACTAACAGCCTTCCAGTCACAGTTACCCCGAGGCTTGTTCATGAAGAGTCATGATAACAGTGGTGAATCTGTGCGTACCTGTTCTGATAAAGCGTAGACGTACAGCCTCCCTTCAGCCCTCGGCTGAGACTGGTAAAATAATGGAGCTCCGACCAGCAGGAAATCTGAGTCTCCATCAGAGTCCACATCCAACAGACTCAGAGACGCTCCGAAATATGAGCCAATCTGATGACAGAAATCAATAAAAATTAATGGAACTGCATTCTAGCACATGCTTTTATAGCCTGATGTTCACAGATGAAATATGAAAACAACACGTTCTGCTTCACAAACACAATGACACCCAATACTGACTAGAAATTAATGAGGTCTTTGTAGACTTATTTTGCTCCTTTTCTCTGTTGGATATGGCATTGCAGAGTCTATATTGTGAGTAGAATGCTTGTTTGTTTTTGGTGAAATACTGAATCTCATGACAGTGTTTGTGTTTGAAGGGTCTGCTGATCTTCTCAGTGGACTGTAGGTTTGGGAGCCCCTGGTCTCACCGGAGGAGAGAGATAATATTGTGTCTGAGGGTTTCTCACTGACTTGTTCTCCGTTGATGTTGCTCGTCACTGTCCATGCGTTTTGGTTCTTGGTGAAGAGGGTCACCAGACCTGTGTGTTCGGCCCGCGGCGCCCCAGAGAACAGAAGAGAGACGCCACGTCTCATTCCCAGCACAGTAGAGTAACCTGAACACCATCAGCGTCATTAAAACACACACAAACTCTTCACATCACACAAGAACAAACACTCCAACATACCCATGTACGAGTCTTTATTTACAGCTGGATCGATGATCTCTGTCTGTCTGAATTCAGATCCTGATCCTGTCACTTCATACAGAGCTCCACGCCAGTCATTTGATCCGACCGAACCTACGATCACAGAGTCCTGCAACAAACACTGCAGTCTCAGCATTGCTTTATTAGACACAGTAATGGAGAGCGGTAAAAACTGCCCTGCTGATCAGCTGACAAACAGCTGGCAGTGACATTGAATCTTTGAAAGATGTTCAGAGTTTCTGATGTTTAGCAGCAAATAAACCAGATCAGTGGTGCTCTGGTTTTACTTCAGGACCCAGGTTTTACATCAAGTGGCAACCCAGCATTGATAATTGGATTGTATCATAAACAAAATGTCCTTCATTAAACAATTAAATTCATTCATGTTACCATGAACTGTGTCTAAACATCAGCAGCATTTCATTAGATTTTGAGAGGGGAAGATTTTCAAATGACTTCAGAAGACTTGAAATATATCACACAAACAACAAACTAATTTGATGGAATTACATGGATTTCTCTTACCTCCTGGTAGATTACACTGAATCCACTCTGTGGTAGCTCTTTCTGTCTGTCTATGCCGTGAGCTTCCTTTGACCCTGAAACACAGAAGGAAAAAATAAATAAAATTGTCAGTGGATTCTGCAGCATTTATACCATTTTCCTCATGTTTGCATTTTACCTTCAATGTTGTAGATCTTTTTTTGCAGGTTGTCAAGAAGTCCTTTGAGTCCACTGTAGTCTTGAATGTAGAAGGTGTTGTTCAGTTTTGGTTCTGATGCCAGCTGACTGAGTGTGGTTAAACTAACCTTTCCCACCTGAACAACAGTGTGCAGTGTCATTTCTGCAGGACTAGTGACACTAAATCACTAAACTATCTGAACATACAATGTAAATTACATGCCAGAGCTATAAGGAAACTCACCCCGATGATGTAACGGAGGATATTTTGCTTTTCACATCTGTTGAGGACATTATTATCATCAGATTCAGTGGGTTCTCCATCTGTGATGATCACCAGAGCTTTCTGAGCATTGAGATTGGCTCCAGACGACACGTTATTCAGCAGATTATTTCTGATAATATAACAGATCATAAATTAACAGCTTTCAGTCTCAGCATCAATGTGCTTCTGTAGTTTCTAGACCAATATGTTGTTAACTTCTAATTTATAGAAAAACAAAAGTCCAACTTTGGCAACTGTGTGTTTAAAAGTCCAGAAAAACAACAACATGAACCATATCTAATTTTCATCCATTTTCATTTATTGTCTTTTTCTCTTAAAGTGTAAATTCAGTGATAGTTCATAATCATAAGAGAGTTTCACTCACTGAACGTAGTTGATTGCTCGATATGTGTTTGTGAGACTTTATGTGTTTCTCTTTCTTGAGTTTCTCTTCAGCGGAGCCCTTCTGATAATCGTTGAAGTCAAACACAGTTCGTATTTCTGATGAAAACTGTACAGCAGCAAACTGACACACAGAAAGACAACAAACAACATTATCATCATTAGATGCCATGTTACACAGTACAGTGTTTGTACTGTACACTTTTACACACTGATTTTCACGTTCAATATTTCCACATTTATATAGCTGATGGATTGTTTCACCTTTATGGATGAGTTTGAAAGTCTTTTCATAACATCTTTAATGAAGTTTTTGTTCATGTCAAACTCGTGTGTTTTCATACTGCTGGATCCATCAAAGAGAAACACCAGATTGACTTCTCTCTTGGTGCATTCTGCAGAAACACCACAAGATACACAAACTCTGCTGTAACTTTAGCAATCAAATCAAAATCCATATTTGTTATACAAGTATATAACATAACATCATGTCTTTAATCTTTAACTGATTTGTCAATAAATATACCTACAAATGAAATGAAACAAAGCAAGTCTGAGATTGTTAAACTGCATCAATTCCTAGAAGTCTTGGTTTGTTTGAGAGACTCATCAGACCTTGGTAAGCGATGGTGAAGTTGGAGACGGCCTGTAAGCTGCTGCTGAACTGGTAGCAAACGCCGTTCAGATACGAGTTTCCATCACACTCATGAAGAAAATACGGACTGCAGCTCTGAGAAATACACACATCATTAGCATCTCATGATGGAGTTTGGCCGTCAGAGACAGTGAACTTACAGTGAGAGCAGCAGACGACACAGCAGCAGACATGCCAAAGAAGCGGACGCTCTCTGAACCTGTCAAACCCCAGCAGAGAGAGAGAGGAGTGTCATCAGCTCAGTATAAAGCAGTGAAAGTCCACAGCAGTTATTTATAGATGGACTGTGAAGCTGATACCTGGCCGCTGCAGCCGTTTGCAGAACTGCAGATCTGCAGAGCAGCTGTACATCTCCCCTGTTGAGTTTCCTTCTAATGGAGCTCCAACAATGATCCTGAGAAACACACACAATCAATCAGACATTCAAGAAAACACCAAGCAACCACACAGAACACCCTAGCAACCAGTGCGTGTCTGACTCACTGTTTCCGGTTTCCAACCTCAGTCTGATAAACGCTGTAACCAAAGAAATCTTCCGGCGTGCCATTCAATCTCAGTGGATGTTCAGTGTCGATGTTGAAGGCCTCTGAAAGAGACGCTGGAGAAGCGAGAGAGACTGTTGAGACGCTTGTGAGACTTTTCTAAATGATTCTTTCTGGTCTTGAGAATGTGGTGTGAGAAATATGGGAGATCTCTTTGTCTCGCTGTAACCTCTTTCAAGACTCCAGTACAGGAGCATTTTATCACTCAGTGGCTCTTTCCTTTTATTACATCCAGGTTTTTCACCTTTAATGGTCAGGACAGTAGAATGAGAGGCAGGAACCAGCAGGAGGAGAACAGGAGCAGGAAAGTACCTTCAGTCAGACTCAAACTCCTGCTGTCCGAAGAGCAGTTGAACCTCGATGTCAATACTTAGTGCTAGTTTTAAACAGTTACTAGTTTAAATTTCTCTTCAGTGCCCAGCACTGTATACAGTATACAGCCGTCATGAACTGCACGGTGACACGAAGGTAGAGGATCCAAAGGCAATATATTTCCACAATCATATACAGAGGTAATCAGTCCAGACAATAACACCAAGGCAAAAAACAGAGGCTAAAGGCTAATCCAAAAACAGGCAGAGTAACAAGAGCAGGAACCAAGACATGGAAGAAACAAGGCTTAGAAACGCAGTTGACACTAGCAAGACTTAGCAATGAATGCCAGTGTGAACCGGACTTATATAGGGTGAGCTAATCAGGCTAATGAGTGACACCTGTAGACTATCAGCGATGATGAAACAGGGCAGAGGATCATGGGGGATGTAGTCTTTGATGGAATGGCAAAAGTCTAGGGTGAAGCACAGTGTGTGATGATGATGAGATCTCTTCTAAAGCTTTAAAGGAGACCATTGTGAAAGTGATAGACGTTTTGTCTCAGGAGACAAGTGTGAGAAACAGGAGACTCAAGCAAAAGTCTCAGTTTGATCATAAGTAACCTCATTTCTGTCTAGGAGAAATATTTGAGATGTTAAA